CTCAAGCACTATGTCCCCCATTGTCAATCCTGGTTTAGTCCTGGTTTAGTCCTGGTTTAGTCCTGGTTTAGTGCTGGTTTAGTCCTGGTTTAGTGCTGGTTTAGTCCTGGTTTAGTCCTGGTGTTTTGGCTGTCAACAGTATGTTCAGTCTACTCGCTCAGACCACTAATGTCTCCGTGACCACTTTACAGCTCTCTGATTGGTCACGGCACGAACGTCCGAGGAAACGTTCAGCAAAGTTTATCTCCTGCGTGCGTCGACTTTCCGCTCCTGCTCCTCCCCTTCTACTTTCCCGCACAGTTATATATAAATAAAGTTTACTTACTTACTTACTTACAGTCTGTGTGTCTCTACTGAGCAGTCCGTGTGTCTCTACTGAGCAGTCCGTGTGTCTCTACTGAGCAGTCCGTGTGTCTCTACAGAACAGTCCGTGTGTCTCTACTGAGCAGTCTGTGTGTCTCTACTGAGCAGTCCGTGTGTCTCTACAGAACAGTCCGTGTGTCTCTACTGAGCAGTCCGTGTGTCTCTACTGAGCAGTCCGTGTGTCTCTACTGAGCAGTCCGTGCGTCTCTATTGAACAGTCCGTGTGTCTCTACTGAGCAGTCCGTGCGTCTCTACTGAGCAGTCTGTGTGTCTCTACTGAGCAGTCCGTGTGTCTCTACTGAGCAGTCCGTGTGTCTCTACTGAGCAGTCCGTGTGTCTCTACAGAACAGTCCGTGTGTCTCTACTGAGCAGTCTGTGTGTCTCTACTGAGCAGTCCGTGTGTCTCTACTGAGCAGTCCGTGCGTCTCTATTGAACAGTCCGTGTGTCTCTACTGAGCAGTCCGTGCGTCTCTACTGAGCAGTCCGTGCGTCTCTACTGAGCAGTCTGTGTGTCTCTACTGAGCAGTCCGTGTGTCTCTACTGAGCAGTCCGTGTGTCTCTACTGAACAGTCCGTGTGTCTCTACTGAGCAGTCCGTGTGTCTCTACTGAACAGTCCGTGTGTCTCTACTGAGCAGTCCGTGCGTCTCTACTGAGCAGTCCGTGTGTCTCTACAGAACAGTCCGTGTGTCTCTACTGAGCAGTCCGTGTGTCTCTACTGAGCAGTCCGTGTGTCTCTACTGAACAGTCCGTGTGTCTCTACTGAGCAGTCCGTGTGTCTCTACTGAGCAGTCCGTCTGTCTCTACAGAACAGTCCGTGTGTCTCTACTGAGCAGTCCGTGTGTCTCTACTGAGCAGTCCGTGTGTCTCTACTGAACAGTCCGTGTGTCTCTACTGAACAGTCCGTGTGTCTCTACTGAGCAGTCCGTGTGTCTCTACTGAGCAGTCCGTGTGTCTCTACAGAGCAGTCCGTGTGTCTCTACTGAGCAGTCCGTGTGTCTCTACAGAACAGTCCGTGTGTCTCTACTGAGCAGTCCGTGTGTCTCTACTGAGCAGTCCGTGTGTCTCTACTGAGCAGTCCGTGTGTCTCTACAGAACAGTCCGTGTGTCTCTACTGAGCAGTCCGTGTGTCTCTACTGAGCAGTCCGTGCGTGCATTACGAGAACCACATTGACTTTGCATTGAAAGCAGATGCAGCATGATCCGGTCTGAGCACACCATCAGGGTATGTGTTTAAGACTACAGGATACCAGGTGTGGTTTAGATGTAATCAGTTTAATATATAGATGCAAAGAAAATACAGTATAATTGAAGTGACGGATCTATGTTCTCACTTCCTATACCAATGGTGATACGGCTTTATTATCTGCTGGTGTAATGCTATTGATCACGAGTGTCTTTAATAAAACTCAGAATCAACTCCAATCGTATCTGACGAAGCAAAACATAAATGTCATTGCAGCATTTTACCAAAGCTCTAGTATATCTTGTTTTTCTTTGAGCAATATGGATATGGCTGCTGAGAATACTGAAAGCAAGTCCAAAATCTATGGAATACATTTGAAAAGAATGCATAAACCAGAATCATGAATAAAAGATTAATCTGAGTTTTCAGAGACAAAGATGCCGCTGCTTAATAAATCCGTACCTCCTCATATCTCTGAAGGACCCTCGTAAACCAGAGCTCACTCCAATCATTACAGAAACCATCTCGCTGCAGTCTCAAGTATCACGAACAGACCGCTGAGATCTGCCATATGGGGTCCATGACAGTGCTTAAAGCCACACACCACCACTTCCTTTAACTTCCAGAAAGAAAAGGGGGAAGTGACTACATTTATTTCATATTTACATGTTGTGCCATGTTCTATTGTGTTGAATTTAGTCAGATATAAGTTCTGTATTCTGTTTTTTATTTGGCAACCCATATATTATTGCTCAAAATATCAGTGATTTTGAGTAAAATAATGTATGTGTATTTTATGAGTCTGGTGTGTGTGTGTGTGTGCGTGTGTGTGTGTGTGTGTGTGTGTGTGTGTGTGTGTGTGTGTGTGTGTGTGTGTGTGTGTGTGTGTGTGTGTGAATGCCTCGCTTCTGTCAGTGTGCCCCATGGCAGCTGTGGCTATAGTAGTAGTTTATCACCTTGGTGCGTCAGCGGGGACTTCAGGCAATGTGGGGTTAAGTGTCTTGCCCAAGGACACAACGACAGCAGACTTCAATGAGTGGCAGATAACATGGGCCGAGGGGGGATCGAACCCATGACAAACAGGTTTAGAGACCAATGCTCTACCAACTGTTTTTTAAATTTATTTTGAGCCACTGTCGCCCGATAATGGCTCAAAATAGATAAAAATAAACTCAAAGTAGCTCTGCGCGAGGAAAATGGTCCAGAAACCCCCACAGAAGAAAAAAGGGAACCACAATAAACGGCCAAAGGCGAACTTCTTATTCAACAGACGACGGAGATGATGCTGTTGTGTAGTTTGGAGACATTAAGTCAGGAGCCGGAGTGAGGCAGCGTTGGCTCTAGATGTGCAGCCTATGAATCATATAGTTAAAGCTCAAAAGACTGCACATTTCCATAGTATTCACAACAAGTTTCTCGTACCCCAGTGTGCACAGTGGGGTGCCGTCTTCTCTCTGATCTTCTGAATAATGAATCTTATGAATTTGTAATACATTCTAAAGGTTAACAACAGTTGTCAATATATTCAAAGAGCTGCATTTATAAATATTCATGAAACAGACAAATGTATAGGATATTTCCACAGCTGCGTTTTCTTTCTCTTTCATCAAACTCCTTACGTTTTAGCTTAAAGGATCTAATAAGCCGGTCCAGAGGTTGGCAAAACAACATAGCGCAGTTTTGTGTCCCCATCATGCAAACGAGCATTTGTGAGTCAAAATGTATTCTTTAGACCCAGGTTTGTGTAACTATATTGTGATCAGAATTTGTGATTAAGTTTCAAAGTTTCTATGTCTCAATCTACATTTGAACGGCAAAACTAAGGCTTGAAGGTCATCCCAGAGACAACATGCTCTATGGCAGAGGGCAGAAACCTTTTCTACTACTTTAAAATGCATGGGAGGCATACATACATTTTTACTGTGTAGATGAGTCATTTGTAGAACAAGATCAACACAATTAGAATCTAATACCTAAAACAAAGTTACAATTAATGCCCAGTTTGCCCACAAAGATGAATCAGAAAGCCAGACACAACCGTCAAAAGAGCCACAGGTTCCGGACAACTGCTCTGTGGTGTTAATCATTTGCGAAAAGCTAAACAGGATATTGAAGGCCCTCTGGTAAGGAAGCCATTCTTTATTAGTGGAAGGACATCGACTACTTTTAAGGTCAAAATGCATCAAAGACAGAACAATCACCTTCTTTCTTTAGTCAATAAATTGTTTAGAATTATCCAAATTGTATATTAATCAAATAAACATGAGCATTTTCCAACAGACATTCATTGTTGTTGTAGACTCGCTCTTAAGTTTTTAAAGAGAAACATAAAAGATTGTAAAAAACAGGGTTTGAAGTTGATGTAGTAGAAGTTTCATATTTATGAGAATTTATCAAAAAGTGCTTTCAAGCAATGCGGTGGCAGTTGAAATATTTAGTGCAGGCCTTTTGGGAATTCAGCATAGCAATATTCACCTTTTCAATCTATATTTCATGATCATAAATGAATGAAGAAATGAAAGGCTTTTTTTTTATACAACATGGACAGAGTTCAGAGACTAGAATATACTGTAGATGACGTAGTTTATGGAAATAGTGTGGGGGAAAAACAATATACTGGATTTATAATGTTTTTAATGTATCCTGTACAGTGTCCTTGGGTGTTTTGAAAGGCGCTTTGAAATAAAACGTATTATTATTATTATTATTATATGTGTTGGTATAAGATTATGACAGCATCTTTTAAATCCACAGCTTATTCGTTGTAGCCTCAGTGATTTGGCTCCACTCTATTCTATACTATATGAACAGAGCTGAAAAAAGCCCATCACGACAACAGTGAGAAGAGACGAGGCTTTTGATCTTCAAGCTTTGGTTAACTGAAGTTTATGGGTCAATGGAATCAGCCGTTTGATGTGAATGTGACTGACGGCTTAATGCAGGTCCTGAGGATCAAAACAGGCAGTGAGCATTGGCCAAACTAATTAGGATCTGCATAAACACCAATGGCAAGAGTTTGCTTTATGGATTCAAAGATTCACTCTTAATCATTCACAACACTGGTCTGATTAATTACTGCCGGCCAGACAGACAGTCATGTTATTACGAAATTAAACCTCATGGCCAAATAGATCTAGTTGTAAACCTTCCAAAAATACAACAAGAAAGGAAGCTGCTCTTTCTCTACCCTGATCAATACTATTTCAGGCGCTCTCTGTGCCATAGAGATCCCCGGGAGGACACCCTAATCCAACTCCCTCCACATCCATTATTAATTACCACCAGGAACAGACCAGAGAACCAGCCAGAGCCCTGACCTTTCAAAGTGGGCAAACCCTGCACAAATACAAATCACTTTATGCTGCACTTTGAGAACTCTTTCCAAATACCAATTTCTTGACTTCTCTAGTGACTGTTTTTCTTTTCCTTCTTTTCATAGAACATGACATAAAGATGAGCTGTCCTCCAGACGAGTCCGAAGATAAAGAGTCCCCACCATCTGAGGAGTTGGAGTGCAAGATTTGTTACCAGCGCTACAATGTCCACAGCCGCAAGCCTAAGATCTTGGACTGCCTTCACCGTGTCTGTGGACGCTGTCTTGTTAAAATCCTGGACAATGCTGATATATCAGGATCAGTCCCGTGCCCATTTTGCCGCCACCAGATCGAGATCACAGAGTACGAGGTGTCCGCTCTTCCCGACGACACTAACATCCTGTTCCACTTGGCGAGTCGAGACAGATCCACCAGCTCCGACCTGAACAAGGAAGTGGTCCTGAACCCAAAGAGCTTCTCCTCCTCTAGTCCATCCCAAGATTCCTCCAACTGTCTGGTCATCACAATTATGGAGGTTCCCAGACACTCCCGATCACCAAGTCGCAATGGAAGCTCAGAAGTGTACGCTGAACAAAGTCTAGACTCTCTTTCAATCGGGTCTGATGGAACAGCCGAGCAGGACGCTTTGTCAAAATTGTGTAATCATGTGCCACGTTTACTGGTCTGGCTGCTGGGGTTCCTATATTTTGGATCATTGCCATTGGGGATTTATCTATTGGTGATTCAGAGAGTAACAATGGGCATCGTGTGTGTGAGTCTGGTGCCATCAAGTCTTACTGTGTGTCTAGTTTATGGGTTTTGTCAATGTTTATGTCAAGGCATATGTGACTGCTCCAACAGAAGTGCATAAGGGCTTCAGCCTCACTACAAGAAGGTTCTGGGTTCAACTTCCAGGTGGCGTGGTGCCTTTTATTTTTGTGTTAGGGTTTGTATATTTTCAGTATACATTCAGTTGTGTTTGGTGACAGGACTTTCAATAGATAGTTTAGTTTGTTCAGTCGGAGTAAACTTTTCACACACAGTACTTCATCAAATATGGTCACATTTTAATGCTATATATTTTCTACCAATTACATCGAGACATGCATTAAACTTTTCATTTAAATAATATTTTTGTAAATCTGTATGTTTGTTTGGCTTTAGGTGTTCTTACCATAGAACTACTGTTGTCACAATATAAACATGGTAAACTTCATTTCAATGCTCAATACTTTTTTCAAACACATTTCTTGTGGTTTTATTACTTTAATTATTTAGACACCAAGGATACGTCACTATTCCCATTGAGCTACTTTATAACTTTTTATTTCTTAATCCAAAATGTATGTTTATAGGTTATCGTTATCCTTTTCTGTAATTAAAAAAAATACATACATATTTCCCATTACACACATCACTTTTGCACTTCTACTCTGATCAGATATCGATCTATTTTCATATTTGGACATTTCACTGATGCTGCCTTGTGCTCATGTATTCTGCATGCATCTTTTAGTCTCAGTTTCACAATAAAACCAGAATAAACTCCCCAGTAAAACTGTGCTCTGAACCCATCTGAACCTGTTGAATAGGCTTCATCTCTTCTATCTCTTCAGATATATAAATATATATTCACTTTATATCTGTTGTGTTACATCTAATGTGCTTTCTCCATCTGAATAATAATAATAATAATGGCTTGTTAAGTGAGCTGTAAATTGCTGGCTACAACTGTGCCCTTGTTCTCTCTTTGCCTCAAATACACAGATTGGCAGGTTTAAAGTTGAAGCTGACATTGGTTGTCAAAATCCATTTTCACACCAGCTAAAACAGCTGCATGACTGTGACCAATTATTCTGAAAATAAAGTAACTATTTCACATCAAGAGTAGCAATAAGTGTGGCCAAATTCTGACTCAACAAACACAACAAGCAATTCTGGTCTAACAAAGTTCAAAGCCAATGTTGATAAATGCGCTGCAGTGTTCTGTCAAACTGTTCACTGAATAAGCAACGATAAAAAGCTTCGTGCTCTAAAAGTGTAGATTGCAAAAACATTCACATCATTTGTAGAAATTGAACCACCGTTATTATACCTGGCCTCATTGTTTACCTCCGCCCCTTTACAAACCCACTGAACAACAAAATAAATAAGGTATTTTTATATAACTTTGTAATCTTATTCTGATTGAACTGAGCCGGGATGATCAAAATCGCAATTGCATTTGTGAGTGCTTGAAGTATTTTGGTTTGATTAGTTTTTCCTGGACATAAGGAGAGAGAGAGTGATGTTTTAAAGTCAGTCGATGACCATGGGGTTGAAGGACTTCTCTTCGCGAGACCGTGACTTTCTGTAAAGTGCATTACAAATGTAAGGCAATATTACTGCGAGGAGAAAGAAGGCTCTCATCTCAAAATGGTTTATATTTTTGAACATAGCAGAAAACTAATAATAATTAGGCGCATATGAAGCACAGGAAAGGAAATAAGTAGAAGACATGGATACTCTCGAGCAAAAGGCAGTGATTCATACCTCGTTAAAAAGTACACGGCTAAAAGCGTGTTGGTAATACGGTTGGTTCTCATATCAAAGCTTCTCTCAAACACTTACCATTACACTTACTCACTACTAATATTGTCTACCCCTTTTTCTTCATAAAAAATTCACAAAGTGGGGTGCTTGTGTAGCGTATAAATAATTTAAAACAGCTTTTAAGCACTGACTAAAAATATCAACGGACGTAGTGACACCTATCTCCGCTGTTCAAACTAATGTACCACCACTTTTGCTTTCTGTGGCTTTTTCAAAATGGCCGCGGGGCAGGAAAATGTGAAAAACTCTTTTGCGCATGAGATAGCCGGCACTTGCCCCATTCATTAACGAGTGCAATCAAAAGTGCACAGCGGCTAAACTACACTGGTCCAAAAAAAATAAAAAAAAACCTCCCCTCAGCATCAACAGCTTCTGGAACGTAGCTTTGGGCCACGAGCGACTTTTGGACCATCCTGTAAAGACGTTTTCGAGAGGAGAGAAGACGCCATACAAAAGCCTTGGGTAATTCTCTTTCTGGGTACACCCCCACCGGCCGGAGTGAGATTGCAGCATGTCAGCGCATGTGCACATGGACCTTTTGGAGCTGGGACCCGCCCCCACAGCTTTTAAGTCACAAATCAGTCTATTTTGTACAGTACAAATGCACACACAAGCGCACACATCCGAGGCTCTATGTTTGGGTGTGGCTCCAGTGCGGTCAAGCTAAAGACAATCAGACACAGACCACTCACACACATCTGCACTTGCACGAGTGTTGACACTGACAGGAAGAGACAGTCTTAAAGAGACTCAGAAGCAGAGTTCACTTTCCTCGTCCCTCGAGCCCCTCCCTCTGACCCCACCATGTGTCAGTCAAGCCTCCTCGTTGTCATTCATGATCACTTTGCATGTCCTTATATGAAGAAGAGGACAAAGAAACGTTTTTTATCTGGTTTTTCTGTTGTATTGTTACATACGTGAATTTTGCTTTTTCTCCGAACAGACCAAGTAAAATGTAAGTATAAAAAACTCTTGTGAATGAGGCATCGTAAACATTTTAACTAGTATTTTATGCTAATGATTTACAGGTTACAGTCACAGAGTACAGAGTACAAGTTACAACAGATTCCACAACCTCTCCTCGCATTCACCTAAATTTAAATATGTTGCAAATTTTGTGCAATGTCATGTATTTAAGGAAATTCCTGCTCTTGGGCTTGCACATAAGTGGCCTTATAAGGGCTTAAGCAGTGCATGCATGTGCTCTCTTTCAAGTCATCCGTGCTTCACATAAACCCAGTCCACGGTTCGCCCTCTCATGCATAAACATGAGGCCATAATCATTTGGTTAGCTGAGAAAAGGAGGGAGGGGAGAGACTTGCATATAAAATAAGTACTTGTGAGGGGATTGCAAAGAGTTAGGCTTTACTCATCAACCTAAAAACAAACAAAAAATCTAATTCAACAAGTTTTCAAAACAGATTTCTCCACAGGGGAAACGTTCTCTGTATCAATCCATAAACCATTTCCTTCTGACTGCAGGAAGAAGTTCCAGTCACACAGTTATTCATCCACATTCACACCTCTAGACGCCCCAGCAAACGTATAAATATATTAGAGTGATTCACAAAACAATTTAAATAGAGTTATTATTGCATTAGCATGGCCTGTGAGAAGAAGAGAGAAAGACCTAGACCTGTTCACCCACAGGTACAAATTGGGGTTTGAGAGGCTCAAAGAGTGAGGAGGAGGCTCAGAGAGTGAGGAAGAGGCATGGGTGGGTGTGTGTGTGTGTTTGTGTGTGTGTGTGGGGGGGGGGCAATAACACATAAAACTCCATTTGGTACAGTTATTCTGCTGCATAAATCCGCAGAGAATAGTTTATTTAGTGCACGTTTTACTTTAACAATAAGTGATTTCAACTGTTGTACCCCGTTCCATCGCGCAAAGCTCGGAGAAGCTCAGATACACTCAGATAACTGTGAAAGATCCTGTCAGAGCCTGTCAGTTCCCAGTTCAAACATCTGTACATTTTACGCAACAACCATATTAAGTGCAATACATTTGACAAAGTGAGGAAAAGAAGGGAGCTCTTTGCATGCCTCTCTTCCTCTTCCTCGTCCATGCAGGGACACATGAGATTGAGCGAAGCAGTCACTTTTACTGAAGCATGGAGACAAGAACAGGGACAGCTCATACATGTACTGAGTATGTACATGTTCTCTGGGTCTCTCTAATCTGCAAAATTGTGAATCACCACCCCATCAACTCTCATATAAATATTGTATAGATATGGGAGTCTACACGCTGCATTCTTTATGAGACATGCCCTTTATAAACTGCCAAACTGATAGCATGCATGGCACAGTTGGTTCATGCGTTGTAAGAGTAGAGGGTTTTCCAATAACCCATAAAAAGTAAAAATTAGTTTCTAACAACAAGCCACAGATACAAAGTTGTTTGGCCAATGAAGGGCAATCTATTCCTTATGTTCACCAGCAATTGAAGTCATAACCGTATGTCTTTCTCTCGGGTCAGTTGCTATAGAGACACTGATAATATTGCGAGAAGAATTGGTAGTTATTTTTGCTTGAGTGACAAAAGCATCTGACAATCCAACAGCAGCTGCACGTCTATTCACTAACGACACAATTCTAGGAGAGTCCTTTGAAATAGAAAAACACAGCCACAAAAATAGCCATACTGTGTATAAAAAAAAAAAAAATCAGTGGACAAATGTAATGGCGACGAGGTCATTTGCTTCCTCAGACTACAAAAGGAAACTAAAGTTGCACGTTTTGGGATAATTATGACAATTAGCGTAGCAAACAATGCACAGTTGTTGTAATTGTGGACCACAAGAGCACAGAACATCCGCACTTCAGTTTCACATTTTGTTTTATCTGATGAATAGCTGAAGAATTAGATGATTTAAAGAGCAGTATGTAAAAATCTGGCCAAAAGTGGTACTGCACTCTCCGGTTGCCAGATATGCAGACGAGACCATAATATCTAAATAGACAAGAGTTTTAACAACCAATCCATAGGAGGATCTTTGTTCACAACCGCCTGCGCCCCTCGCTGGGTGGCAAAAAGACAGAGCGGCACATACTGAAGCATGGATGCGACGAGTACTTTTGAACGACTATAAACGTATATAAGCACTATAACAATAGCACTGCAAACAAGCACTTTAACAATAGCACTGTAAATAAGCACTTTAACAATAGCACTCTATATAAGCACTTTAACAATAGCACTGTAAATAAGCACTTTAACAATAGCACTGTAAATAAGCACTTTAACAATAGCACTGTAAATAAGCACTTTAACAATAGCACTGTAAATAAGCACTTTAACAATAGCACTGTAAACAAGCACTTTAACAATAGCACTGTAAATAAGCACTATAACAATACCACTGTAAATAAGCACTATAACAATAGCACTGTAAATCAGAATCATTTTTTTTATTGCCACGTAAGTAACAGGAGGTCACAGACTAGGAAATTGCTTTGGCTCAGTGCAACAGTCAAAAAGAGATAATAAAAATAAGAATAAAAAACACTTCTAAAGAATAAATTTAAATTTAAAATAGAGTTACAGTTACTATTTACAATATACAAGTGCACATGGTGCACACAATGTAAGGTGACAGCAGTACAGTGAAGTAAAGTGACGTATGATGGGCAGTAAAGTGACTTTATAAAGGGCGGGGGGACAGGTTAAGAAGTGTTCAAGAGTCCAACAGCAGCGGGGAAGAAACTGTTCTTGTGGCGGGAGGTTCTAGTCTTGATGGACCGCAGCCTCCTGCCTGAGGGGAGTGGTTGGAATAGTCCATGTGCAGGTGAGAGGGGAGTGGTTGGAATAGTCCATGTGCAGGTGAGAGGGGAGTGGTTGGAATAGTCCATGTGCAGGGTGAGAGGGGAGTGGTTGGAATAGTCCATGTGCAGGGTGAGAGGGGTCGGCTGTGATACGACCAGCCCGGCCTCGAGCTCGGGCGACGTACAGGTCCTGCAGCGATGGAAGGCTGCGGCCGATCACTTCCTCTGCAGAGCGCACAATGCGCTGTAGTCTCTGTTTGTCCCTGACTGTGGCTCCAGCGAACCACACGGTGACGGAGGAGGTGAGGATGGACTCGATGATGGCCGTGTAGAACTGCACCAACATCTGTGCAGGCAGCTTGGCTTTCCTGAGCTGCCGCAGGAAGTACATCCTCTGCTGGGCCTTCTTGATGAGAGAGCTGATGGTCGGCTCCCACTTGAGGTCCTGGGTGATGGTGGTGCCCAGGAAACGGAAGGACTCCACAGAGGTGATGGGGGAGTCCATCACGGAGGGTGGGGGCGGGGGACAGTGCTCTTCCTGAAGTCCACAATCATCTCCACTGTCTTCTGGGCGTTCAGCTCCAGGTTGTTACCACTGCACCAGGACACCAGCCGGTCCACCTCCCTCCTGTAGGCGGACTCATCGTTGTTGGAGATGAGTCCAATGAGGGTGGTGTCGTCCGCGAACTTGATCAGCTTCACAGAGTCGTGGCTGGAGGTGCAGTGGTTGGTGTACAGGGAGAAGAGCAGGGGAGAAAGAACACAGCCCTGTGGGGCTCCTGTATTTATAATCCGAGAGTCCGAGACATTCTTCCCCAGACGCACTTGCTGCTTCCTGTCCAGATCTGTTGGCTCTGTAGGCGAACTGCAGGGGGTCCAGGAGGGGGGAGGTGAGGGACTTGAGATGGGAGAGAACCAGGCGTTCAAATGACTTCATGACGACAGACGTAAGTGCTACAGGTCTGTAGTCATTGAGTCCTGTGATCCTGGGCTTCTTCGGGACGGGGACAATGATGGAGGATTTGAAGCAGGACATGGCAGGACTGCAGAGAGGTGTTGAAAATGTCCGTGAACACAGGAGTAAGCTCACTGGTGCAGTGTCTCAGAGTGGCCGGAGACACGTGGTCCGGGCCAGGAGCTTTGCGGGGGTGCAGCCTCAGGAAGAGTTGTTTCATCTCTTTAGCGGCTATTGTTAGGCTGGGGGCAGGGCTGATGGGTGGGTCGTTAGAGTAGTGGGGGGTGGGGGAGGGAGAGAGAATAAGCACTATAACAATAGCACTGTAAATAAGCACTATAACAATAGCACTGTAAATAAGCACTATAACAATAGCACTGTAAACAAGCACTTTAACAATAGCACTGTAAATAAGCACTATAACAATAGCACTGTAAATAAGCACTATAACAATAGCACTGCAAACAAGCACTTTAACAATAGCTCTGTATATAAGCACTTTAACAATAGCACTGTAAACAAGCACTTTAACAATAGCACTGTAAATAAGCACAATAACAATAGCACTGTAAACAAGCACTTTAACAATAGCACTGTAAATAAGCACTTTAACAATAGCACTGCAAATAAGCACTATAACAATAGCACTGCAAACAAGCACTTTAACAATAAGCAAACTAAACAAAAGTAAATAAGCACTATAACAATAGCACTGTCCAAATAATGGGCACTAGGCCTTGGCTTCTGTCCAATCAGCGTCCAGGCATCGGCAACAATCAGCTCCCGGTGGGAAAACGACTGGCCAGATCCGCAAAACAGGGAATTACAGGCTGCGGGCCATAACAGACATAATGCGAAATCAGTGTTTAAGAGCATTTACTTTGATGCGACATTCTTCAATTTTTCATACTCGTACACCACAAACAATTAGCAAAAATGGAGTCATAAATGCTTGAATTGAGCTGTTTTTATCTTCACTTGAGTGCATTCTGACTGTCTTAAGATTGGCCAATGGGAAAAAGCCATTAAGTCTTCAAGAACGGTTGCTTTATTTTCTCATTCCAAGGGAGACATTGCTTGTAACAAGATCCTTTTGCTTGTTTTAAGGCAGTCAGAATGTGCTGAAATTAAGATACAAGTTGTCAAATTCGAGCAATCTTTGACTTATTTTTTATCACTTTTTCCAGTGTAAAACTTCTGGAACAGACATATGCATTTGTCCCAATCAACACCTTAGGCCCACGTTGATGAGTACTAGTACCGGATTCATCTCTGGTTCATTGTAAAATACTCTCAAACACATTGGCTTAGTTGCTCATATTCTCCTGTGCGGGCCCCCAATTTATTCAAGAGCCCAGATGAAACTGATCCAGTACATTTAAGTACAGACATTTAAATATGTTCTCACTCACTAGATTGAAACCAGATTGTATTCCAAAGGCCTGGGGTATTTAGTGACAATAGCCATAGATCTGTATCTTAAACAGTATTAGCTACAACAAGAAAAATGCATTGCCCCGGGAGCATGTGTCACATGTGTAAAAACAGGTTCTTCGGACCCGGATTTAAAAAAAGGACCACTGGATTAAAAGCGAATTAAAAGCAATTTATTACAAAATACATTAAAAACAAGTAAATAAAAGCAACATAACCCTAAGCTAAAAAAAACGGACTAAAAAGCTAAAACAGAGGCTAAGCCACGTCGGGCTCCCGTGTCAGGCTCTCTCTCTCTGTCTCGTTCTGTGTCCGCCTCCCCCTCCCCGTCTCAGTCTTTTATTCTCAAGGCGCAGGTGTCTTGATTGTTCACGTGGGGAGCCGGGGTGCTTCAGGTGGTGCCAGTTAAAATCAATATTAACACAAACACAACATGCATAAAATATGAATAAAACCATATTAAAACCCACCACCCATTTTGCACCCCCTGACACATGTGTTT